TAAAATCAGTTAGAATTTGACCTGGTTTCTCTCAATCGACACAGTCATACGCTTTATTGATGTCTAAACTAAACATAACTACCTGGTTACGGTTTGCTTTCTCACTTGCTATGGTGAAAAGAGCCTCATTAAGACAAATACTGGTGGAAATGTGTTTCTGATAAGCATAGCACCTAGAGGGGAGCATTTGTGAATTGCGCAGATATTTAGCGAGTCTTTCTTTGTTCATTTGGTTTGTAATTTTTAAAAGTACAGACAGGAGGGATATAGGTTTGAAATTTGTAAAGTTTTCAAGATCTTTTCCAGCTTTAGGAATGGGTACAATTTTAATTGTATGCCAACCTACAGGAAAAGAGTGATCCAGCGATCATTTATCGCAGATAGCAGAGCTGAAAGGCTTGAAGTGGAAAGAACCCTTACCATTTCGTATTTAATACCATCATGACCCGCTGCTATAGATTTCTTTTTTGATTTTCTTTTAAGGATATTTAAAAGTTCTTCCAATGAAAATGCAGAGATGTCTTCCACCTGTTGTGGGAACGTGGGCTTTCAGCCATTCTAGGTAAGGTCTGTTATTCTCGTCATTCCAAAGCGAGTGTTTGTATTTCTTTTTGTAATGTCCGTTCAAACATTTCCAAAAAGGTGTTGTGCTGCCATTTGTACAAAGCTCTTCGATTACTTGAACACGGTGACTTCTCTTGGTTTTTCTAACCGTTTTTTTTCATTCTTTTTGGGATAGCTTAAATTCATCGAAATTAGATAAGTTAGGATATTTAGCAAATTTTTGTTTTTTGTAGTTTGCGGAAGCACGTTGTGAGCACTCCATTCCACCAAGTTTTGGTGAGTAAGAATTGGAGATTTGTATATTAGATTTGACGTTATTAATGTCGTGCTGAAATGAGTTCTGGATGGATTCAATATGAGGCTCAAGACTCATGTGCACAAGATTATTTAAAAATTTGTCCCGCGAAATGAAATCATTTATCTTAAATGAAGATAAGAAATTTGCGTTAAAGAATATAGGAAAATGGTGGCTATTTTTAAGATAAATTTCTTTTTTGACTTCCCATTTAAAGGAAATGTTAGTTGAATTAGTAAAAGTAAGATCTAAGACACTGCCACAACCATTAGAAATGGTAGAGTGTAAGTAGGCCGGAGTATTATCGTTAAGACAGTAGAGATTACTGAATTCCATATTTTCACACAAAGCTTTGCCTTGATTATTTGACAAAGAGTCACCAAAGCAAGGGTTTCTTGCGTTAAAATCTCCTGCAAAAATGACATTGTAATAACCGTCGAGCATATCACAGAAGCGTTTCATACCGTCCCAGGAAGATTGGATGGGAGTATTGGGTTTAAAATAGCAAGCAGCAGTGACTATATTTGGCTTTAGAGAATAAATTTTAACAATTACAATATCAGGAGCTGATTTGAAGGGAATTTGTTTGAAGGAGATACCTTTCCTAGCTAAAATAGCTACTCCTCCATAACCATCACTCCTGCATTTGTAAGCGGAGTTGTAATTAGGAATTTTAAGGTCTGAAATACTATCATCAGACGGAAAAATTTTACTCAAAATTCCGAAATCAGTTCGACTGGAATTGAAGTGGTAATCCAATAAGTAGACATTGCGCCTGAAACTTTGCATATTATATGGTAAGAAAGATGTCACTGGGGAATGCGAGGGCATGTTAGGACCGAATTAGATATACCTTATTTTAAAAGGTCAAATTTTGAATCAAGGATTGCAATTTCTGTTTGGATGGTTTTCAATTTTTCTTCATAAGGAGTGGTGGAAAAAATTTTCAAAATTTTTTCCGATAATATTTCCATTTCTGTGGACTTGTGGTTATTGGTGAAGATATGCTTTTCAGAAGATTGGGGAGGTTTTTTTGGCTCCTGTATCTTAGTACTGTAAGTCGAGAGCATCTTATGAATCGCCCTTTGCATGGGTTTGAGAATACCCGGTCTATTTTTAACAATCGCATTAAATTTTAAAATGATATTTGACTCTAGAATCGGATCTATTATGTTGTTAGATATAGTACTATTCTTCTTTGCCGAGAAATATTCATCGTGGTTGTTGTCTAAAATATTGAACGGATTGGTAGAGAATTTTTCTTTGTATTCTCTAAGAGAGATATTTTGGATGGTTAAGATTTCTTTAATGTTTTCCTCCTTCTTCCTTTTGGGACACACACTACAAGTTACATTATGGTCCAAAGACCCACAACCTAAGCATTTGATTAGTTTGCAAGACAGCTTATTAGCAGGGATAAAGTAGTCCACTGGGACAATACAATAATTGAATTTAATGTTTTTGGGGATTAATTTGCCCTTGAAGCCAATCTTCATGCTGTTTGTAGGGATGAATATTTCTTTGTTGGAGCGATCCCTTCTATGAAGTCTCGTGGCGGAAACGATGTCAATTTCAGAAATAGCGGAATTCAAAATATCTTCCTCCTTATTTGAAGCAGGAATATTTCTTATAATCCTGAATTTTTCAGTAAAATACCTAGGAATGTAGGTTTTACAAAGTTTCGAACGAAGTCATTATTTTTAATAAAATTATTAGCATTCATCGCATTACCAAAGCAAAGTTTAGCTTTGCCATTGCTAATGGTTTTGATGCTAATTAGACTATCCAATTTTAGATCTTTAATGTATTCAAAGAAAAACAAGTCAGAACTGAGATGTTTGTATCTATCGTTATTAGAGACTTCAAGGAAAACATTGCACTCTCCAGTCACTTCATTATCATAAAAATTTTAACTTGTTAGCTCTAAGGGACTATTATTTGAACTACTGTGCTCCACACTGCCCTTATAAGAAAGAATGATTGAAATTGAGGCGGTGGTATTAACCTCCATAGACAAATCTCTCTCGGGTAAACTATCCTTATCAATAAATTTTTTCTTAGGAATTTTTTGCTGGTTGGAGTTTTTTCTTTTAAATAAATTCTGATTGTGAGTGGTTCGTACGAAGTTTCCGAAATCCTCACCGTTATACAACAAGCCTTTTGAAGCGGGCGACTTTTAGGTTTCGTGCTAGACTATAGGCAAAAAGGTAAAGCAACTGACTTGCCAAGAGAATCAAAAAGGATATAGAAGACCAGCAGGTTCTGAAGAAACGACAGAAACGGAGAAAAAAACCTCGTACATTTAAAAGATTTAAAAAATCCACTTGAAGCGCCGTTACTTGATATCCAATATAATTGCGAGATGTCCAAGCAAGTCTTGCCGGGATAAACTAGAAGACAGCAGGTGAAGCTACGCACCCTGCGGAAATGTACAAAGATGTCGAGACTCTTGTTGATTATGTTTAATTGTCACGCTTATAGAACGAAAGCAGGGCTAGAAATTGTTAGAAGTTTAAACACTTCGCTATGTATGTTTTTCAATAGCTTAAAAAATTTTAATAAAAAGAATTTTTTTTTTTTTTAATTTAAATGGAATTTCTGCACCGAGAAAAAAGACGTCTTATTTCGTGCAGAGTTGCGCTTCTTTTCTGGTCTCAAATTCATTTCACCTTTTTTCGATCTCTTATTTCGTTTGTTTATTTAATTGGCTTTCTTGCTCTTCTATTCATTACTTCGTTATAACCCTACGATAATATCTCGAACACTCCGTTGTAATTGCAACGGACTGGAAGTTTAACTCGAATCGAAACCAATCGAGTACCATCCACTCAAAACGTGATTTTATCATTTTTTTCTTTCATAGCGCACAATGACTCGGCATCCGGAACCGTAAACGGAGCGCAAACCTAAATGATTGCACAGCTTTGCCTTTACTCACGCTTCGTCCCCTTTGAAAAACCGTATTTTTTATATAAAGAAACAAATAAAAATGCGTAAAACGTACGCAGTTTCAACGTAAAAATAAATTCAATCCTATGTTGATTTAAATGCTTTCTTATGTTACCCAATTTAAAATTTTGATTTAGAGAATATTTCTCCCCTCTAAGTGGCTAACACAACGATGCATTCTTCCTTTTTCGGGCAAAAAACTCTCAAGTGGCAAACCCACATTGCCATATTACTTGATAAGAAAATGTAAGGGTTTGTAAACAAAAGCTTCTAAATTTAAAATAAATTCATTTTAATTTTTTTGTTTTTGTTTAATTAGCTGATATACATGCAAAACCGTATGATTTGCCAACTACCAATATGACTCGAAAGAAATAGGCAAACTTGAAATCCTATCCCGAAGATGGCAATAGGTTTCTTTTATCAAATAACATGGCAATGCGGCTTCTCATTATATTTAGCACGTGGGGCATATTAGTCCGAAAAACGGAAAAACGCCTCATTGGAGGATGACTCAATTGAGCTACATTTATATTTCCAGACCTGACGGAAGTATGTGAATTATAAAATTTTAGTAAATGGGAGATAAATTTCGTCTATAAATATTTACATATTCATTATTTACATGTATATATATCTATATATATATATAGATATATATATATAGCTATATATATATATATATATATATATCTATATATATATATATATCTATATATATAAAATATATATATACATATATATAAAATTTAAAAAATTTATAAAATTTGCAAACTAAATGTGTTACCCAAACGTGGGAATATAGGCGAATTTTAATTGCATCAACACCTGTTGGCTATAAACGGAATAACGAATCAAAGACGTTAAGTCCATAAGGACGATTTATATGAAATTTGAAAGTTATTGACCTAACATTATTTTTATTTGGTTTTATTTGAAGTATACAACCTACTTTAATTACATCTTTCACCGTTTCATAAAACAATGCGAAAGCTTTTTTCATTTCATTCAAAGAAAAATCGCAATTCTATTTCAGTGTTTGGTACGTTTTGAGAATAATCTAATAATGTTATATATAAATCTTTCATTTACTTGTAAATTTTTTATATTTTGCTAATATCCTCGGATTAGAACGAGGCTGGCTTTTCAAATTAATCTGGTAACACTGAATTCAAAATTAACATACTTGGTTTTCCAAACAAACCCTTTATTTCACACTTCCGTTTCATTGACAAGCACGTAGGCTTTTCTTTTCTTAATTGCTTTTCGGTGAAAATGGCACCTAAAAATCCTCCTGAGAAGTCCGGTAAGAAGTTTTTTAAAGTCAATTTTATTATCAAGCATATTGCGAAAAATTTTAAAATAAGTCTTCATTGAAGCGTATTATTATTTCTGTAAGTTTTAATAGAGTGAAAAAATAAGAAAAATTTGGGAAAGAAAAACATGCGGTTGATTTTACGTTAAAAGGAAAAAGCGCTAGTTTGTGTTGTAAAGGTACATGCCAAAAAGAAAATTAATTGTAAATTAAACTTTATATGGGTTCAAAATGCAATATCATCGAATATGAATTTATTTTTTCTGTCTTGCCTGTGTATGACCTAACCTCAAAGCATTGCCAAGTAGTAGTTGTACCAACAGAAAAGTGTTCCATCCTTTGTCTTTATTATTTTAGCAAAGCCCGGTGAGAAAAAGCCGGAAAAGAAGCCAACGGCTGCCGCCCCTTCAACAATGAAAAAGCCTGCTAGTGCCAAGAAACCGGCTGCAGTTCCTGTCGCTGTTCCGCCAGCAGTTAAAAAACCTGTCCCTGTGAAAAAGACAGCCGTTATCAAGGCCAAGCCTAAAATTAAAGATGCAAAGAAAAAGATCGCAGCAGCTGGTAAAAAGCCTCAGGCAAGCTTAGCTAAATTATCGGCAAAAGCTCGAGCTGCTGCCAAAACCAAAGCTAAAAAGCCGCCAGTAGCTAAAGCAAAAGCTGTAGCTGTCTTGAAAGCCAAAAAGGCTCAAACAAAGGTAAGAAAGATGGTGGTGGGGGGGAATTAAGCTTGCATTTAAAAGATTTAATCCTTCCTTAAAGATCATTAAAGGTGCCTTTGGTACGCGAACTCGTAAAGTCCGTACTAGCGTTCATTTTCGTAGACCGAAGACATTGAAATTACCACGGAAACCTAAATATCCCAGAAAATCCGTACCCACCAGAAATCGGTAAGTAATCTCATACTGACGCTCGAAAAAATATAGTGTATTTTTTATGCTCGCATTACAGTATGGACGCCTATAACATAATTAAATATCCGTTAACTACTGAGGCGGCGATGAAGAAAATTGAAGATAACAATACTTTGGTGTTCTTAACTCATTTGCGGGCCAATAAAAATCATGTGCGAGCTGCTGTACGCAAACTCTATGATATTAAAGTAGCCAAAGTTAATATTCTAATTAGGCCCGACGGCCAAAAGAAGGCGTATGTACGTTTGGCTCGTGACTATGACGCGTTGGATATTGCCAACAAAATCGGCATCATATAGATTCTGCCTTCTTTCTTTTTTTTAGAAATATGTGAAAAATGAAAAAAAAATACATTTGCTTTGGACACTAATATTCCGGTGTAATCCAATACATAAGAAAATATGGAATTTTTATTTTATTTGTTCTGTTTAATCTTTTCAGAATTTATATCAGTGGATGTTATGATTCCTGTGGAAGTTATTTTAGGTAAGCATATTTTCGTTTAACTATTAGTCTTCCAGCAATGATGTTAACTTGGAAAGAATCTCACTGAATACATTTATTGTGAATGAAAAATATGTACACTGATTTATTTAAAAAAAAAATTTTTTTTAATTGCGTGTAGGACGTACTAATGTAATTTTGTAATTTCTTTTCAGTTAGCAAAACTTCTTGCTTGTGTTTCGCGTAACTAAGGTAATTTCTTCATCCAAAAACTTTACGAACAGAAATGGACTAATTTTTTATTACTTGAATAGTATGTTTATCGTTTTGTACTAATATTATTTCGTCTTCATTTTCTGATGAGAATATTCTTACAAATAATCTAATATACTTTTTCTTTTCTAATTTATTTCTTCAATACTTGCAGTCCTATCTTTTATTTGGTAAGCATATTCCTTTCTTTTCATTATTGGTTTTTTTCAAGGAAATGATTGAAGTGGACAGAATCGAAGTCTTGGGTACATGGGTCTAATTAGAATGCAGGAAGGTACTCAAGTTGTTGGGTCTACAACATGAATTTAAATCTCCGTAACTTATATGCATTTCTGTAGAATGTTTCTAATAAAGGGCAGTTATATTAATAATGAAAAAATTATATAGTCTTTTATTGATCTCTGGATAGTTTTTTTTTT